GTCTGCCCGCCGGGCGGGTGCCGGGCTGGCAGTGCCGGCCGCTCCCGGCTCGTCTTTCGGTCCGTTTCCCTGGCTCGCCCTTGCTTTCTCTCGTTCCCTCCAATGTTCTGGGCACTGGCCAGGGCTTCACGCCCAAGTCCGTTTCACATCAAGTCTCGTTGCCCCTCCGCCTTGCTCACCCCCATTTCACAGGCACCTGGGCTCCTGAGGCCGCCGGCCAGGCAGGCAGGGCAGCCCCCAGGGCCTCGCACACTTCACACTCCTCACCCCCTCCCCGGGTCCAGGCTGTGTCTCCTCCAGGATCTGGGTTCTGAGGGCGCCCAGACACTCAGCAGGAGGCAGGGCTGAGTGACTCTGGATAACCCACTGGAGGGACCAGGGTGCTGTGCGCGGGCACATGGGCAACCATCAGGTGCCAGGTCACCCCGCGGGGAAAGAGCGCCATCTGAGGGCCGGCCTGCTCTGCGGCCCTGGGGCTGGGCTAGGTCCTCAAAGGGAAGCTCCATTGGCCAGCCCAGGAATGGGTGGGAGCGGAGACGCTGGGACATGTGGCCCGAGGGATGGACCATGTCCTTGTTCCTGGGTCCTATGCTTGGCATGCATTGGCCCGGCGGGGGCCCAGCAGTGTGGGGCACATGGGACCCTCGTGCCTGAGGACAGCAGGGGGTGGAGGTGGAGCTCAGGGAGGGCTTCCTGGAGGAGGGGCTCCATGTCCTCGATTCCTGGCCCAACAGGGTGTGACTCGGAGGTGCTGCAGAAGGCGGGGCTGTTCACGCACATCCTGAAGCACCTGGACACCTGCTCCGGGAACAGGGAGGTCTGCATGGCCGGCCTGAGCCTGCTCTGGGTGCTGCTGGTGGATGGTGAGGGTCCTTCTCGCACTTCCGGGCAAGCTGGCCCATGGTCTCCTCTGAGCCAGGCGCAGAGGGAAGGAGAAGGGGGCGGACCCACGTCCCGACTTCCCTGGTGTCAGAAGTTAGCTGGCTCTGGCCTCACTTTTTTATTTTTTCAAATTATCTTTATTGATTTCAGAGGGAGAGGGAGGAGAGGAACATCCATGATGAGAGGGAATCAGCCATCGGCTGCCTCCTGCACGCCCCCTACTGGGGATGGAGCCTGCAACTGGGCACGTGCCCTGACCAGGAATCCAACTGTGACCTAGTTCATAGGTCGGTGCTCAGCCACTGAGCCACGCCCCATTTTTAATCCAGGAAAGGAGTCCGGGCCCCATCTTGCCCAGCAGCACCTGGGCAGTTCTGCCCAAGGAAAACGGCTTCTCACCATGGAGAGCCCTGCGCACACCCCGTGTGGAAGTCCCCCACCCCCACGCCAGCCACCTTCCCATCTGAGGGCAATGGCCCCCTCCAGCTTCTCTTGTTGGTGGGGGTGGCGTCGGGGAGCCGCATGTGCCCAAGGCCCGGCATCATCCTCCGTCCTGTTCAGCTGACATCATGGACAAGGCCCCCCTGGAGAAGGCCCCGGGCCTCATTGTGGAGCTGCTGGCTGCCTACCCTGTGGACACAGAGATGGCGGAGGCCGGCTGTGCGGTCCTCTGGCTGCTGTCCTTGCTGGGTGAGGTCCCGGACCCCAGGGTGGGGGTGGC